TAAACGAAAATTCATCGGATTTTCTTTAAAAAATTTCAGTTCTGCAATTTATCAGTGTACTATAAAAATCCATCCACATTTTGTGTCCGTTGAGAACTTTTTAAGTTGTCTAACGTAGGCGAAAAATTGAGTAAATATTCATCTGAAGCGATGTCATAGATCTGGCTAAGTTTTTGCCCTGGGATTTCCTATTGTCTCGAGTTTAGCACAACATTAAATACCCATGCAGCACATGAGAATGAATTTACCGCACTTGGTTGACTTCCGTAATCTATTCGCTATTGTTTTCTCCCTTTGTACAGCATTACCATATTGCCGAAAGATTTCAGAGGTAAATCAGGCACGGTAAATTCTCACCTGCCGCATGGGAATTTGATTTTGCGCTAAACTCTTAGCAAATAGGAAATCCCAAAGCAGAAACGTATGGCGAAAACGGAGCTGATTTCGTAGCGCCGTCAGAAGGTTGCCATTTTACTTCTTGTGAAGTAAAGATGCGGTAGACATTTCCTATAGAAGGACGAAAACGAACGAAGTATACTTTGCTACCCTTAATCTGCTCGAGTTTTGTGCAGGAAGGTCCTCTATCGGAGGCCAGGTTGGCGCACGAACCAGGGGAGCATTGTAAAACTTCTCACACGCTCCTCGAAGACTTCGAATGGCACAAAGTCTCTCATATTCAGTGGTTAACACTTTTTCAGTGTGCCAGATGCTGTGGATGACATCCTCTGTAACATAATGTCATTTTGAACTTTACCAACTGCCTTCCTACTTTCTTTTCCAGCGTTCCGCTTCACTCCAACTCGCTTCTCGAACTCTTCCCACGACTTCTTTTCTGAAGGCCGGTTTTCTCCTTTTCATTGCTCGAACAACAGAAAAAGACAAGAACAAACAACACCTTTTCATGATCAACCAAGGGCCTTCACAAGACCTTCAGTGTATGGCTACCAGTTCCCGCCATTTTGAAAAGCCGTCACAGAAAAACTAGTCCTAGTTCTTACCGCGTGGAGTGATAACGCTGGACCGTTCAATGTTGTTGTTGTTGTTGTTGTTTTTTTTTCGTTATTTTTTTTAACACGGTTGTAACGCTTTCGATTTATTCATTTATTTTTATTTTTGTTTTGCTTTTTGTACTATGACTAATAACTATAACTATTATTTATTCAAAATATTTCTAGGTTTCTCATTGGGTAAAAGCACACGCATAATTCACCATAACCAGCTACTGTTGACCAAATTTGAAAGAATTTTGCGATTAATCAACCGATGACGTCAAAAGTGCAGAACAGTTGCAGATTAATTTACCGTTAACCGAGAAGAGCTGGGGACGAGAAAGAGTTGTTTTGGTTGTGAAAAGAAAAATGGCCGAACAGTCGTTGGAACATTTTACTCGTTTCACGACGAACTATATCGTCTAAAAACATAGCAAGAAGACAACTCGGCGGACAACGTCTGTTATTTGGAGTATATTTGCAGACCTGAACAGCCCCTTATCTTCTAAACAAGCACTATCGCGGTGAACTTAACATCGACGAAGGTAAGCATGTTTTAGCTTGTTTTCAAACTAAAAATTAAACTTTCAGCGCCCCCCCCAACATCTTCATACCCTCTTCTCTATATTAAATGAACTTTTCCTCACCCCTATTCTCTCCACACAAATATTATCAAAAATAACCTAAAAACAATCCTAAACCATAAACAGAAAGCCTAACAACTTTTAAAATAAGTACAAGTATGTTTTCGAGCATTGAAAAGATCTTTCACAACCACCACTTCATTTAAACAGACTGTAACCGCGCTAACCCTTCATAACCAAATTAGCACTCCAGCAACTACCTAACTGCCGCCCGGTTAGCTCAGTTGGATAAGCGCCGGTCTTCCGAGCGGGAGGCCGCTGGTTCAAGTCCCTGCCGGACCAACACTCAGGGTCTTTAAATAACTGAGGAGAAAGTGCTGCCTTTGTAAAGACATCTGCAAACGGTTAGACTTTCTAGTCTTCTCGGATAAGGACGATAAACCGTACGTGGGCCCTGTCTCACAACCCTTGCATATATAAATTCCGTGGGACGTTAAAGAATCCACACACTGTTCGTAAAGAGTAGGGGACGTAGTCCCCGGTGTGGTGGTCTATCTCTCATGAGGGGAGGGACTGTTACGGGCCCGCAGTAATTGGCGTCATGCTGTTGCGGTGACCCTGCCAATAATAGGCGAATCTAATAAAATAAAATTTACAAAATACCTCACTGCAACACCTAAAATCACTTTTACCTTCCAAAAAAGATATTTTTGTAACTTCATTTCAGTTAAATTCTACGAGAAACCAATTCCACGGTAACAAACTACATGTACAGCCATTTTCTTACCACTCCACGTCCAATATATGTAGCCACGCTTTTCACTTCACACATCTCAACCAACCCCTAAAATATGCAACGCTACTGCACTACTCAAACATCCCTAATACATATAAAAAACTTCACGCAAGCCAAGCACTTCGACGCCCAAACATACTCTCCCATAGCTTCTTGTTTTTGTAGGAAAGGGCGTGTCCTTGTCCTTGTCTTGTACATTTGCCGTTTCATAAAATTTGTTTGTTTAGGCTCGCATCAGCAGTTTCGGGATGAGGGATTGACGTCGACCCCATCTTCGCGCAAGTCAACACTAGCTGGCTATGAAGAATTAGCCGTTGGATTTAAGCCAATCAGAAGCAGGGATATATTTTGATTGAATTATGATTTGTGATACGACCTGCGCATGTGCAGAATTTTTGCCTGCTCTGTTGATTTTCTCAACTTTCCGCCATATTGGATTTAGGAAATTAGGCAGATTTTTGGCAGCAAACCTCCGTTTATAGCACAGTCCTTTCCGAGTTTTTGCTCGTATACTTGAGTATTTTCTTCGTGGGGTTTTATTGTAGCTATGTACGCGAAATCATGATCTCGGACGAGGCTACAGAGTCTGTGGCGGTAAGTTTCCTTCGATGTCGATAAGGTTTCTTTAATGAATTCGTGCTTTTCATCCACATGCTGTCTAGCGAAATAATTAATTGTTATCTCCACGGCTTATCTTTTAGGAAAATCGCATCTCGTGCAAATGCAAAAGCACTTGTTTCACAAAAACGAACGGCGAATACCAATCGAGGATGTCCTTGCAAGGGTGCTGGTAGAACATGTGGCAGTGAATGTTCGTGTGGATCCACGGCGAAGCCTTTGCCGAAACAAGGTGAGTAACATTACTTGTTTGCGGTCGTGAAAGTTGAGCTTGAAAGGGACAACTTATTTTTTGCATCGTTCTGTCCCTGTTTCGTTGTGATGCAAGTAAGTAAGTACAAGAATGGCGGTTACGTTTGGGTCAGAGACATCGATGAGCACATGTTTACTCAGAGTCACTGATCTTTGTGGTCGAAGTGCATCTGGCGTGTATCCAGCACTTTTAGCGTGTATAATTGTTAAATTTCATATCGATCGTCATTATTTTTTGATCTGGATTTTGTAGGAGAATTATTTTCACACAAGCAACAACAATATTTTCCAGTGTATGAATTCCAGTACCATTTTACTACTGCAAGCTTACAAGTAAGTTTATATTCCTTTGCTTTGAAAAGCCTGGTGGAGACACAGGACGCCATCCAGTTTCGAGCAACAGAAGGCCCCAGTCTTATCAAATTGAAAGCAGGCCCAGTGAAGAAAAAGAAAGGGTGAGGGAAAACAATGATGTAAAAGTGAGCATATTTGTATTAGCAGAGTATATTTTATTTAAAAATAAAGGTTTACAAGTATGAGTGGAACTCTTACCTTATATTCCCGAATAATAATCATTTAAACTAAATAATGGAATATGTGATACAAATGGAAGTCCTTTTAATTTGTTTTCTTTAGCTAGGTAATATGAAAATTCAATTGTTTTTGTGTATTCTTTTAGGAGTTCATACAGACACTTGATGAGCCCATGGTGCGAAAGCTCTGCATCAGAAGCCTGCGAAGAGGTGTGGGAAGTATCGACTTCATCCAGGGGCTGTTGATCATGGAGGATGACCTGGATGAAGGACATGAAGAGGATGAAAGTGATGTTACCCCCACCTCTAGTACCTCCACTGATCTTGCTTGCTTGCTTTCCATCAGGAAATTGAGTATATTTCAATTTTTAGTGGACAAAAACCTTCTACCAAAATAGTTTAAACAATATCGCATTCTTTTTTTACATTTTTCAAAGGCTATGGATATAATTAGTTATCTGTAATAACACCAAACACTATTCCTCATGGGAGCCCTAGAAAATAAATGTCAAATTACACGACAATTTTTCTGGTACAAGGTTTTTGCCCCCTGAAAATAATGAAATACTCGATTTCCTGATAGATTTCGTCTAAATTTTTTTGCAAGCCAACTCAATTCCAGACGGAAATTAAAATCAACGCGAAAGCAATCATAGGAATTTCAAAAGGCCTTAGCACCACCTGCAAGGAGTACTTTCTCTTTCAATTGTAATTAATTTCGCTTATAAATATGTCACAGTATAATGTTAATAATATTAGAGAAATTTACATTGGTTATGATAGATGAATAATGAAAGTTAAAATAGAAACTCGTCACATCCACGATTTGCCTGATATACAGCTGATAAGCAACTACTCGGCGCGGAAATACTGAGAAAATCACTCAATAATTGTCATCAGAACAGGTTGATAAACGAACAACTCAGAGCTGTTAAAACCTCAGAATAAGTTCTACTCTGAACTCAAATTTTTTATAAGTAATTATGTTGCTGAATTGATTTGCTCAAGGTGTGACCAGGCTGATTCTTGTTTGATGAAACGGTTTTTCTTATTTCAGGTTTGTGCTGTCTATTGTACGTTTTCAGCAGGACTTATTTTTCAAACTTTTAGTTTTAAACTGGACACAGGAAGGCTTGGAAAGCTGTTCCAAAAGGTTTAGCCTTACATACGGCCATTTCCAATACTCCAAGGTACTGGTAACAACTCCTTAAATTGCGCCTTTTAGAAAATGGTTGGTCATACCATTGCAGAGATATTTGGCCACATTCTTTTTAGCTTCACACGGAGTGTCGCTGAACACTCAAACTTTCCCAAAAGCGAGAACCATTCATCTCTCTTTGGCTACAATGCTTTAGAAGACACGGGCAAGGAATGGTACGCTCAATCTGTCGATGAAGTTATCTACCAAGAATACGGCAACAGCGAAGCAAGTGCTAGTGATTATTGGACGTCAAACCGTCCAGAAGTTAGAATCATAAATGCAAGCTCAACGGATGACAGCGAACAAACACAGGAAGAAATAAGTGAAAGTGCGATGGCGTGGAAGCATCTTAGACCATCGATTTTTCATACAGTTTTGAATTCAATGTACTTTGGTTTATTCATCTCCGTCTTGAGTGCGTCTGTTGCTGGACTGGCTTCGATTGCTGCCTTTTACTTTAGCTTTCAAACGCAGCTCATCTGTTTAACTCGTCCCAAAGAATCGATTCCAATCAAGCTACAGTGGGTTATAACCATTTCAGAAGTATTTTCCGTCTGTTTTATGTACTTTTCATGCTTTCTCAGTATTATATGTTATTTTCGGCCATTCCAAATATCAGGATTAAAATCAACTCTGTTCTTTTTGTGTTTTGGTTTTTACATTCTGGACTCAGGTTATCGAATAACCATGCAAGCTTTAGGACTTTCGCAGTCTAGGTTGACATTTACACAGAAAATTCCTGCAATGGCTACATACCACATAAATATATGTGTACTGTTTTACGTTTTGACAAGACACTTAAATCCAGGGCCTATAAAAAGGCAGATAAAGACGTTGCTACTTTTAATTGTTGCGTGTGTCGCCACACAGCTATCTGCTGTACTTGTAGCCTATTTAATATATCCAGCATACAACAAACAGGAAAAAACTGGTAAACTGATTATAGCGATATTTTCTCCTCTGATTGTAGTTTTACTCAAAGGTGCTTCTCGTGTATGTGTTCAGCGTTCATGGAACCGTATCAGTTATCCATCCACTTCATTTGTGCTGCTGGGTACACTTTATTGTGGATCGGCTACAATGGTGAGATTATTACAAGTGGATCTTCAGAGTCTAGAGTCCGTTGCCTTCATTGGAGTCATTCATGGGATAGCAGAAGTTATTGAGCGAAGCACGATGGTTATCATAGATCATTATTCTAATCAAATTCTGGAAAAGAGAAAAATTCCCCTTGGAGGTTTTCGTACGCCTCGTCGAGAGAGGCTTGCAGCCGATATCTGTATTATGGGCATGTTGTATGAATCCAGTGCAATAATCTCAGTGAACGGCCTTCTGTACTTATACCAATATTCTTACACCACTGATAGCTCACCGTTACTACTATTTCAGTTATTTGTACTTACCACTTCCGTTCCACTATCCATCGAATGGTTTTTCACGAGTGTTTCTATAGCTATTGAAACTCGCTATCAGAATATGCCAATCATGGCTGTTTGGCGAAGACGATGGAAAAGACACGTGTTAGTGGCGGTTATAAATATTGTGATGATCTCCATTTGGGCAAGTACGAGTCTGTTAATAGCCATAAGAGGACGCTTTGTTAACGAAACTAAAGACCACTGCAAAATGCCATTCAATTTAGACCCGTAAAGGCAGTTATGTATTTCAACTAGCTGTAATTTTGCCTTTGTGGTATATGTATATATCATATCTAACTTTATTATTTAAGCAATAGAAAACGTTTTCCGTGTTTGCATGGCCTGATATAGACACGAGAGGGGTTGGGAGAATTCGAGGGTTTGCATAACTTCCTTTACTAAAATCCAAAAACGGATTACTGATCCAAATGATCCTCAACGGAGGTCGATTCTTTGGATCATGTCCACAACAGGATACTTTGGATACGTGATCCGAAGCGTTTCTTAATTACGGATCCGCGAAAAGAGTGAATACTAGAAACAATTTGATTGCGTACGTACATCAGTTGTTTGACTACACTGCTCATCAATTTAGGGCCATTTTTAAACCCGAGGCATGGATTAAACGCTCGATTATATCCGTTTTATCGTGGTGATAAAATCGCAATACGAAAAAGGACCCGCGTGTTTTTTTTTTTTGTTTGTTTTATCACAAGAACAAATGCTGCGCAACTTCGCCGGCACGTACTTTGCCAGCACATATCTTGTTACAAGACCCGTCAACATTTGTCCCTCCTAAAGCCGTATCTTCGAGCCAATAGTCCAGAATAAAATAAAAGATGAGCAAACTTGCAACATTGTCAGCAGCCGTGTTATTCTTTTTCAGGGATACCGTCGATATTGTGGATCGTTTTATGGAAATGAATGAAAAATAATCTTTTTTGGATTTGGATACATTGTTTCTTTTCTTAAAGAAAACCCATTAGGATTCGGATTTTTAATCTGATCTGGGATTTTAGGAAAGAAACGCACCCTAAGTTTTAAGTTTATCAAAAAAGAGGAGGTTTGTCGAGATCACAGATGAGGAACTGCTCCAATTCGTAGAAGAATAAGAAAATCCGAATACAAAGAGGAAAAGTGCGTACGACGTCGAGTTATTCCGAAGAATTTCATTCACACATTAAGCCCTGGCTCAGTGATTGGTTTAACATCTTTTCATGAGCTTTCACCATAAGTTCTGAACGACCACTGACCTTTCCTTAAACATTCATCTTTGGCGCTAGAAAAAAGATGGCTCCGACCATGAACCCATAAGTTTTAGAGGATTTCTTTCAAGCATCCAGAGATATTTGAACAAACAGAACTATATACGGCTTCACAATTTTTCAACTTACTCCACTCGTACAAACAACCTTGCTACTGTCGTAACCCTGAAGGACTTCAGATACCTCTTACAGTACAGGGCTTGGATTATTACAGTGTAATAACCGAAACAATTGCTGGAGGAACATTCAAGATAAATGTAAATTTGCAGCAGAGTTATTCTCCTGGTAAACGTGAAGTAAGTAATAGTAGGAAATGGAAGCGTGTGAGGATTGAAAGCAGCGATGAAAGCCAAGAGTAAGCTTCAATATAATGATCTATATGACTGGTTAATGTTAGGCAATTTTCTAACGTTATTTGTGCCTCATGGTTATATACCATTAGGGTCTAGTATACCTGATTATACATTTTCTATTTACATCGATTTCATTTCTGGTCTTTTCGTCTACGTCTTTCTTTGTATTGAAGTAACGTCAATTACCCAGTCACGTAGTTTAAATTTTGGCTGATAAATTGTATGTGCGTGAATCAAATGGTGACGTAATTGATGCCCTTACATCTTTATTCATAACATTTTAAACTTCGACACCGTCGTACAACTGAGACGGGACGTTGCCATGGCAATTTATTGTAAATTATAAATTAACTATGAAGTTTCGCGCCAAAATTAAGGAGTAATTCGTCACCCGTGATATTAGTCTACTTCCTTCACACGCACCATTATGTGAATAAATAAATTCATACTTATTGTTGTTGTCGTCGTGACTATAGTTAATCGCTTTTGGTCTATGCTCATTTCTCCACACTCGAGATTTTCTCTCCTTTTTTTTGTCTTTTTTTGTTTTGTTTTGGTGTTGTTGTAAATGTTTCTTTGCATGTTTTAGTCTGTTGAAGGCTTTTTGTTTCGTTTTTTTCTGCACTCTACAAACCTAAATCATTCCTTGTATTTGTGTAGGGTGTTTCAGATGCTAACGACAGATCAAGAGGTGGTTTCTGTAAGACGAACTGCTTCTGGAAAATCTAACGTTGTATCGTGTTAAAAAACAAACATTTTACAAAATCTTAAACAAATTTTTTTTGGATAGCTTATTGTTAAAAAAAAAAATGTAAGGAAACTTTTGATTCTTCTTTTTAACCCGATCCGCAATTCACAAATGCGAGCGATGGAAAGAAAAAAAATCAACAAAAAAGGAAGCCGCAACATGGCAGCTTTGTGAAAACCGGACTCTTATCTCGCCGCACCGAGCACGAAGAAATGAGTTGGGAACGATTAGCGAAATAACTTAGATTCCAGGCTTTTCACATTCGCGACTCTTGACTGCAATACTCGGCATAATGTCTATGTAACGTTCGCGTGCAATCGACAGCTCCAATACTCTAGGACTCAACGAGGCGCGCGTGTCACTCCAACATGGCGCCGATAGTGTGCTAATAACGTGATATCGTTTGCATTTTATTCAGAAGAGCTTTTCTTTAAAAGAATGGAGGAAAAAGACATGCGACAACATGGAACCTTGAACATGCTTTACGACACGGAAAACAAAAGGTAAAGAAAAGCTTTCTTTATCTTCATTGTTCAGTTAAATGTTTTCATGAAATCAACTTTTGTAAATCCGCAAAAGAATCTTTGGGGACACGATATTCTCTTAGAAAAATACTATGCGTGAATGAAATTTGTCTTTGCATTTCTAGAAATTAGTTGAATATTTTTAGGTTAAGCTTATATAACTTACGATTAGCCCTGTTTCTTCGCGAAATTGAGCGAAAACCCTCTCTAGCGCCGATTTCTGTATTTGATTTGCTTATTTCCGTCTACATAATCATGTTTGAGAGCTGCTGATCTCATGAAGTTGATGAAATTGATTGCAAATTGGCAGTACAATCCTTTTTGCTTTGCAAATTTTATGACGTTATTTGATAAAAAAGAAGAGCACGCAAGCAAATTTGATTATATATAATTCCTTAACAGGTGACAGAGATTTTATCGTTTAAGTTTGTAACTGCACTCTTTGCGAGTCACTTAAAAGTATAATTGGAAATTTACTCTGCGCGCGTTGTGTTCATCTGTGTTGCTTACTAATAGCCTTGGCTTTCTATTCTTTTTACTTGCCCAATTTTCTTTGTCCACGAAAGCGATAACACCAAATTTCAGAGTATATCGACTGTATTCTTACTGAGTGTTCGTACCGGTTTCTTGATTGGAATAAATCAAATCTTTGAGTGTTTCATAAATTGAAGAGCCCCAGTGCTTATTACCTAAAACAATTCATTAGCAATGCGCCCAATCTCGCTGGTATAAACAGTTTTGGACTATGAATATTAATTTGACGCCACGTTTGAAAATGCAATTACTAAAACAAATACCTTTATATCAAGTTTTCAAAGGAAGACGAGCAGTCATTATATATTATTCGTGCGTTTTAATACTGAACAATGCCTTTCTTTTCTATTTAATATACAAAGTCTGTCCAGAAAAATATTATTTCTTAAAACAAATGAGAGTAATTTTTCACAACTGCGTACGTTATTCCTATACATGCAATTCGACATTTTCTAAATGATTTCAAATTCTGCTTAAATATGGAAGCTATTGCCTCTAGTAAATATACGTTATTAATTCTCAAAAACATCTTGTTAACAACTCGACGGTATAATCTATTTTACAAGGTTAAAATATTTGACGATTATCTCTCCGATCATTAAGTTTCTTGTCCTCCCCAGTTTTCGGTTCACTGTCTATGCCGTTGATTAGCTCCACGCCGGCATGAAGTGATTTTCACGTACATGACAACTGTTCTCGTTACTGCTTTATACTGCATTTACGATATTCAAGAGCGACTGAAATTTTGTGTCCATCGCACTATGTCCTTGTTGAATCCTTGGCTTGATTTTTTGAATGTGTTTCATCACGATGGCTTTTCTAGGGGTGTACCAGTTCACAGTCCTTACAGCTACATTCTTTGACAATCGCCACCTTCTTTACTACGAAATCGGGAGTTTGTCCTGGGCACTCTAGCCTTACGCTCATCGTCTCCACTTTCGACGCCGTACAATATGAGCAAGAAACGAAGCGTTTGGGGATGTAAAAAGAGTTACATTGTCCATAGCACATGTTGTTATCCACGCTTACAGATTTGCAACCATGGTGTTTGATCGTTTCCTTGAAATGATTAGGTGTGCACCAATCCGTTTTAAGTTCTATCCTGCCAAAGTTGATGACATTCGTGCCTTGCCTTAGAGGCAACTTACTTTGCTGAACTTGTTGTGTTTTGGACGACAAAACCGAGTTTGTGGCGTGTTTACTATCAGGGGATGGGACTACCGGGGGAGGTGAGATGTTTCCTCTTTGGGACTGTGTGTCTATTTGCTGATTTGGTTTCAAAGGCAGGAGTTCCCAAGATCGCTTAGCGGCGCTTGGTGATGATAATCTGTTGCTGTTTTGCTGGTTAGGTAAGGATGTTAAACTTTTCCCAACTTCGGCCGAAGCACCTAATTGCATAAACGACTGCTTGGCCGCTGTGGTCTTAGATGAGTCTCTGTTGCCTTGCGTGAAGTCACCTTGGTCTTTATTTGCCTGTGCCAGGTTACCTATGGCTGAAGGTGGTTGTAGAGTGCGTAGTGTATCAAGTTGATTATGCTGTGAAAGCCGTCCTTTGTCTTCTGCAGGTAGAGCGCTGGATCTGCTGTTAAGGTGATCTTGTAACGACGGAATCGGAGAGGAACCAATTGAAAGAAGACCAGTAAAAATAAGGAGCATAACGAAATGCCACTGGTTGCTCTTCAGAACATTCATCTAAAAGACAAAGATGCAAAAATTGGCTTAATCGAAGTCGTAATCATATAAACACGAGTTATCTCATTATTTCTTAAACTTGCTCTTACATTGTTGTTTACCCTTGACATTATATTCGAATCCCTTCAAAAGAAATAGTGAATAGCCTATGAACGCCAACGCGCTCACTGATTTATAAGACATTCTGCCATTTGCAATATTATCCCGTCAGCACGTGCCAAGAGGTTTGTCGTATTTAAAATCTTTTGATAACAGCCTTTAAAAGGCTGAAATATTCGTCTAAACCTTGCGATCTCGTTTTAGTTATATTAGAGGTGTGTTTTGAAAGCACTTGAATAGCTACATTAAATTGGAACAGTAATTCTTGTTGCCACTGAATAAAGGTTTCCTCTATATTTTTTTCCTGAAGACTATCTTCTAGATCTGTCTGAGATTTCCCCTCTTTTTTGTCGTAAAACTGAAGTTTTGACTTTATTGACAAGAGAACCTCTCGAGATAAATCCTGTGTTTTATTTGCTTATAGTAACTCATAAGACTACAAATTTGTGTTGTCCACTTGTGGCTTGAATTGAATGTAACGTGTATTTGCTGTTTGATTGTCGGCTTATAAAACACTGATTGATATATTTTCGTGGACTTCCAGAATATGGAATTGAAACAGGAAACCACTTTAGAGCGTACACACAGGCAAAGCTTAAGATTTTTCAAATGGTTGCCCATGACTTTGTAGCTACTTTAGCAAAGTGCTCATTTACCTTTCAATCTTGCAGTGAAGTCGATCCTGTCGAAGTTTGACTGGAATCAAATCTAGAAAAAGTAAACAAACCAACTTATTGGGAGCTCATGCAAAGTGAAAAGAGTCACAAACACGAAGCACCCGGCGAAAGCGTTGCTTAAACTACAAACTGCTTCGCATGAACAAGTTATCGTCTTCACTTAATTTCGATCGATATTGCTATTAATCTCACCGTTTGATTAATCGGAGTGAGGAGAGTTATTTTCTCGCTGTTAGTTGACCTTAAACAAGCCTCAGAGTCAATCACAACCGATCGTAGCAGCACCGCCAGCAAGTTCCTTCGACTAAACGAGTCCGGGAACTGCGGTAATAAGCGCGATTGTGGCAAACTGCGGTTTATATTGTGTCTTTTCATACAAGCACGCCACTTGTCCGGCAAAATAGGTGCAATTTAAAACACGCTTGTCATTGTTCGAGGCAACGCATGATATATCAAAGCTAAAATATAGTTTCGTCACTTCTTGCAACTATGAAGAATGCTGGCGCCACGGAACCTGTCTCAAATTAACTCAATAGAGCATTCTCGTTAGATTGTTATTCACTCGACAGAGAAATATTGTTACATTCGGTAAGAAGAAACGGCATTTCGATTTAGAGAACCCCCTTACCGATGTATTACTTCCTAAAAAAAAATTGTCCTTTTACTGAAAGTTTCCAAGTCGTTTCAGTGCTTAAGGTTTTAAAATTGAATCTAATGAATAATCACCAGACAAATAAACAAAAGAACAATCGGCAATTAGCGCAAACTTTCATAGCAAAAGTTATTGTTTACAACGGCGCCAGAAGAGAGAGGAAGAAAAATAAGGTTTCCGCCTTTTTTCTCTCCATGTGGTCTCTATTCCAGCGAACATTTCCAGGAGATGGACACGAAAAAAACAGTGTTGACGCCATATTAAACCCGGGAACGTCATAAGGTTCTTTCTGGCACCCAACCAATGGCGCCGGATGAAAAAAGTATCGCTGATACTCTTAAGGTTGAATCATACCGCTTTCGAAAAAAATATGGGTCCGTCTGCAAGCTTGGTCCGTCAGTTACTTACTAGACAAATCCTAAACAGAGCAACAGATATCGTTCATATAATATTGCTGTTTGACTTCGGCATCTACAAGTTTAGCATATATATTCTAACGAATTCGCTGCCAATGAAGATTGCAGAAGAGTGATACTTTTCTATTTGCTTAGTATCATAATTTCATCGTATCAATGCAATTTTTTTTGGAAAAGTTTGTTTTTATGTTTTTCGTTTTCATTTCTACCTTTCACTTTAAATGCTTCGTCATAAAATACATCTTTGACCTCAAAAACCAAGTTGATTTAGCATAATGAAATAACAAAACCACAGCCAAGGCAATTGAAGTACCGCTCTATCGTTTGTTTGTCGTTCCACTGACAATTTTATGTTCGGAAGTTTAACTGACGTCAAAAACACCACTAACAGCAAATAACATGTAACAATTCTGTGAGAGAAACGCTCCCACTTGAAAAGGTTGCTGTAGCTTGCCAAATGCCTTTTTTTACATTCCAGGAGCGGGGAGACTATTCCCGGATTTTTTGGCAACTTTTGAGCGATTTCTGGTCATTTTTTGGGAGCAACTTTGACTCAATTTGCTGGCATAGTACGTAAAGGGTTTGTGGGGAAAGCGAAGAAGGCTTATGCGCGCGACATAGGCTACAGTACAACTTGAAGCTTTTGAAGCAGTAATGTTTAGAGAATTTCATTCTTTTTCCAAAACGAAAAAAATTTAAGTGTCGTGAAATTTGAAAATCTAGAAGTTAAGTGACTCATGATCATCCAAGGCTTTAGAAAATGTGCGCCAAACTTTTTTCGCCAACAAGCTTAACATCGTATTGCGAAAAAATTCGGTGACTTACCGCTTCCACGAGATTTTTAAATGATCGTCTACAAGCGTGTGAAAATCGTTGTAACAGTACTAAAATCTCCGATGTATGGAACAATTATCCCCAGATCACTTGCACTGATCGAGTACAAGACTCACGATGACGAGGGTAACTTTGAATAACAATATTAAACTCTGTCGATTTATTTCTTGTTTCAAAACGGTTAAGTTCTTTTTTTAGAGCATTTGTAAGCCAAAAGCATAATTATACAATCTCTTGCATTTCATTTTAAACATAGTATCCCACATCCTTAAAATTAAAAAAACAAATCACTGACTCATTATATCACAACATAGCATCACAAAGAAACACCTGAGTTCCATTGACGTAGATGATCTTCACGATATGACGTTTTCCTCGGTCAGCAACGCAATATGTTTTTTTGGAACACGATCTATTTAAAGCCTTTTCTGAACAGGCCTTAATAGTACCGAATATAATATCAGATTGCAAGAAGTGAAGTATTATACATAACCTCACGCCTACGATCCAAAGGAATATTAAAAACAACTGAACTAAACGGCGGTTATTATCCGGTGTTTTATGAAATAAGCGATTTATTGCCGACATACAAACTCACACGATGTCTGCGTTCCTTGTCGCGGTTCACGAATAGTGATCATTAAACATTGTTCAGCATGATTTGTGGCGCCGAACCGCTCTTAACAACCTAAAGGAGAAACTCATGATTTGTTTTTAAGGTCACTTTGGTAAACACTTCATTTCCGCGCGTGCAAATCTTACGCACGATATACTGCCATACGTGACAAGGTCAGGTGCAGGAAGTATTGACCAACTTCCTGTCCAGCTTCGACTAACGCAGTACCGTATCCCAGTAGCTTGAGTAGCCGGCGCTTGAAAGTTATGGGTGCGATATAGAACGAGGCACGCCCATATTACCTGCAAGCGCCTGCTATGCAGGCTAGTATCCCAGGATCGCTTGTGTTAAATAATTAAAGTCAGTATTTACCGCAACAAGTAGCCCTTAGTCTCGTGTTTGGTCCTCCCAAAAAAGGATGTAATTAATAGTAAGTCCATGACACAAAATTTTCTTGAAATTGACGAAAGCCGAAATTCAGTTACTTTGATAAGATTGGGGCACTTTCAAATGCCTACAATTCAAATGACGGTAAAATTGAAGATTTAAGCTAAAATTTTTAGAATCGCGGTTGCAGATCCTTAAACGCATATTTGTTTTAATGTTTTTATGATTGTTATTCTGTAAACTATGCGGTTTTTAAATCTTAAGTTGGTGGAACATTTACAGAGAATGATTGATCAGACTGTTCTTTTTTTTGCGGAACCGGTTGCGTAGGTCACTTGATTTAAGGTTGATGTACAAGAATTGCGTAAAACATAATGATACTAGCTAAGGCCGTTCAGCTAGAAAAAGGTCCTGTTAATAGAATTTGTAAAAAAAAAATGAACGTTTTAATTACCATTGTAAACTTTGTGCGTTGTGAGAAATCCTATAAGGCTCATTGGCTGCTGAAAGCGCGTTGCATGTAATGTCTTTTAAATAAATTCAAGGACTTCTTTTTCGCTCTGTGACCATTTTAGAAACTTAATTGAGTAATATCATCTTAACACTCAGGTATAGATATTACTTTGTATTCGAGCCAAATTTATTTACATTGCTTACTATTTATCTATAAAATGTGCTTTTGACTGTTGCCCTTGGTTTTGCTTTTTCACTACTGCCAAGCACGCAGATTGAATATCAAAATGGGGCTTTAATTAAAGGTAATAAGCAATTTGCAGGCTGGACTGAACTCGAAATTCTTCACAGTGTACTTGGCTAGTCCGCCTTGGTGGTGTTTAGATTTCTCGCCCATTCTGCAGACGGTGCGCTTCGTTCAATTCACCTAGTACCCAAACCTTGGAGCAGCAGTGTCAGTATAGACGAGAAACAAATTATCTTGAAACACTGGATGGACGTGACTTCAGCCTTCATAATATACCGGTGTTTGCAGCAGAATGCAAGGTCAGCGACCTGCCAAAATATAAGCAACACCCCGGTTCGGGGACGCGGTGTCTAGCCAGTCAACTCCTGTATATAAGTGATAAATAGCCGGAGTTCCTGAACTATTTTTCAGTTGACCGTGGCATTGTTGTCAGACCAAAAGCAAAATATTTAGCAGAACGCAGACAGAGGCGACGAGTCATATTAAGACATGAATCACTGTACTTGAGGATGCCTCTTGCAAGAGGAAGAATGCTGGTGAATGTTCCATTTTTCCTTCGTTTCTCAGTTTGAAAATAATTAGAATTCTTCTTATTATAATTATGAGCATAAAATTGATAAAGATCAACTCAAAAAATGTTTAACTGCAAGGAGGAATATCTTTATCAGATTATTGCAAACAAGTGCTTATGAATTGCTTTCCCCAAGGCGTTTACGTAAGAAGCCGATTTCTAGATGCAAAAATCTCTAGTTCGTTATTACTCAACTCAGTACTAGAATATACCACGCAGTTATTTTGAATTAATATGTTTTGTGAAAATAAGCACAATTTTTGTTTTTATGTACTATGTAATCCATTATGTGAAGAAGTTGTTTTGTGTAGTATTGGCGTTATTCAGCTGCGATGATGATTTCAACAAACGTATATCTACCTGTCTAATCAGACGTTTCTATACTTAGCCTTGTATTTACTTTAACCTTTGTTTTGCTTTCTTTAATTTTCCTCACAGGAATTTCGGTTTAGTGACAAAAACGCTAGGGAAATTGATGGAATATAAACTATTTTCGTACGTATATAAGTCCTTTGAGAGCGGAACAATAATGTTCTTTTTTTGCTGTTGTTTCTTCCTGCGCGTATGCGATGAGAAAAGCGAAAACGCAACTTTTTTAAAACACTTCAGAGCGGATATTTTTGAAGACGCCAATTTCCCGTACTCATTGGCAGCAGATGTAAACGGATGTGTTCGAAACCGTGATGACGTCACATTATCTGAAAAATTGTGTCATTATCACTCATTGCTTTTTTACGGCTTGTAGCATTCTCTATTACTTCCTTTTTTGAAAAGGAACACATACGTTTTCGAATGAAAACCACCGGGATACTTGAGGATGAGGCTTAAATCATGATTCACCTGTATGCGTATGTATGAGTTTTAGGTCTGATCTTGTTTGAAAAACATTGAACGGCGAAAACTGAACAAAGTCATTATTTTTCCCTTCATCTAAAAAGCTGAGTATTACGTGTGCAAAACATTGCCGTTTTCGATATACAGTATGACCTGTTATATCAGGTGATATCAGTTTGACTAGTTTGATTGCGGAGTGAGGAAACTTTAAATTTCATTTCGTATCCGTTCGACGAGATTTAGGCTAATACGGTTAAGATAGCACTAGCTTGAAAGACGACGCTAGTCGCTAACGACTGATCCAAAAAAAATTAAATGTAATAGAAAACACCAAAAGCGATATCAAGTCATATTTTGCCTATTCTTAATTTCATTTTTGACTGTTCTTTTGATAATCGGTTTTGGTTCATCTCCGCAGACT